CAACCCGGCGCTAATATCCCTCCAAAACCCGCGGTGCAAACATTAATTTTCGCCGAAGAACAGCAAGCGGGCGTGTTTTGTAGCTGCATCCAGGCGTAGGGCAATGGTATCTGCGAACGATACCCACCCTCTGTATGCAGATATTCCAGTTGTTACGGTAGCAAGTTTTTTTCCCACTCACTTGAAAACGATTACTGCGCCTTCTGTCTGACCCTTGCCGCTGAACATATGAGACGGCATCTTTTCGACATCAAAGGAGCGCGAGAGCTCGGGGACGGCGGCACAGGCAATGACATCATCAAAGGCTCCAGAGCTACCCTGACTAATCTTGCTGACGAACTCCGTCCTGTGATGCAAGATGAGGGATACGCCATCATTTTCAATAACAGAGAGCTGACCCATAAAAGCGCGAGCTATTTTCACAAAATCGATCCATGCTGCACATTTAGGCTTCGCTCCAGCACTGCCGATTCCACGCTTGAGTTCCTGCCGACCTCCATTTTTGTACTTAAAATCTGCAACCTTCTTGCCGGGGCAGATATAGGCGAGATTCCGGCCAGACCTGAGTGAGTAAATCATAGGTTCCTGCATGCAGCTGTGGGAGAAACGACGCTGTAACTTCACGTTGGCATCATCCGCGACCATGTAGCTGTGAGTGTGCCTTGGTTCTTGTCTTCTAAAACTAAGTAGCATCCAGCACGTTGGCTGGGCGAACCTGCTGTCTGCGGTGAGCAAGCGCCACTTGGCGATGCAGCCAACTCGGGCATTGGGCTGGCGTCCTCATTCTCGTCCAACGGAGGTGTAGAAGATGGCAATTGCTGAATTGGCTGCAGTGTTGATCGCTCATCAGGAAGATCATCTGAGTATTTCTGTGAATTGCACTTGTCATTCATTATTGGTGCACCACCTTCGCAATAGATTCGACAGTCTTCAGCATCAGTCGGATCGGACCAGTAAGCGGCAGCATTGTCCGCATCCTCTTTTGCTGCTTCTAGCTCTGCGATAAGCGCAAAAGAGTCCGCCTCGGCCCGAGCATGCTCAAGATCTGCAGCAAGCGCCGTAACACGTTCAGCTGCCTCCTGTGCAGTTGCAACAGCTGCTGCCGCTTCACTTGCCGTCCGATCCGCCTCCTGCTTCGCCTCGTGTAGTTGTGCTGCAATCCGCTCGACATTTTCGATCTCGGAGCACGCAAGCACTTCTTTGAGCATCTCCAGCTCTTCAGCGAGTTCCGCAACACGTCTCTGGCATCGGACACGAGTATCACCTGCTGTCTCACCCTCTCG